TCTACGTACACAGATAAATATACACACATATATTGATAGATATATACATATATAAAGCGAGCGATATTCTATCATAATATATATATAGAGGAAAGAGGATTTTTCTATTACAAATATGCCGCTCTTTGCCCGTAAATCGTCGAAAAGCTCCGATCACAGTGATGTCAGTCAGGATAGCAAAGGACGCAGCAAATCCTATGATTCCCATACACAGAATAACAACAACAATCATCAGAATAATAACAATGATGTGGACAAGAAGCCGCCGTTGATCTTCCATTGCCAATTAGCACATGGAAGTCCGACGGGGTTGATCACTGGCTTCGCAAGCGTCCGGGAGCTGTACAAAAAGATAGCCGAATGCTTTGATATATCCGAAGATGAAATTTTATTCTGTACTCTCAATTCGCACAAGGTGGACATGACACGTCTGCTGGGCGGACAGATTGGTCTAGATGATTTTATATTTGCCCATCGCAAGGGCCGGGCCAAAGAGATTGAGATAGTCAAGACGCAGGATGCTTTGGGTCTGACCATCACCGACAATGGGGCTGGCTATGCGTTCATTAAGCGCATCAAGGAGGATTCGATTATCGATCGCATCGAGCACATCTCGGTGGGAGATCATATCGAGAAGCTGAATGGAGTGAATATGGTGGGCAAACGGCATTATGAGGTGGCACGCATGCTGAAGGATATTGCGACGGGTGAGACGTTCACGTTGCGTCTGGTCGAGCCGGTGCGCAGCGGTTTCCAGGGTATCGGACCGCGTAGCCAATCGCGTGCATCTGGTTCGGCGCCTGGACTCAATGGCGGTCGCAATTATGGTTCCGGCAAGGAAACATTACGCTTCAAGGCCAATGGCAATGCACAGATCGAGCCGAAATTCGACGAGGCCACCAAAGCGGGCGTCGAAGCCATCAATGGATTGCTGGAATCCTTTATGGGCATCAATGATACGGAGCTGGCGTCTCAGATCTGGGAGCTGGGTGACAACAAATCGAATTCGATGGACTTTGCGGAAGCTGTCGATAATTCCGATTTAGAATCTTTTGGTTTTACCGATGATTTCATTATCGAACTCTGGGGTGCTATAACGGATGCGCGTCGTAAAGGCAAATAGAAACTAAGCAGATCCCAAGCGATCATCAGTAATTACAACAATAACGACAACAACAACAACAACATTTGCATTTTTGTTTACTAGTAATAAATCTAATGCAAAATCTAAAAAGAAAATCTATTAGCAAACTAGAAAGAAACTTCATTTTTCATCAGCTATTTTATTTCTCCTAATTGTTAGATCTTAGCATAAACATATTTATATAAACATATATATACGCATATATATATTTATATATTATATACAATTGTATTTATTTGTATGCCCTGCATTTGCCAATTATTTTGTATTTGTTATAATTATCTATGATAAATATATATACTTATATTTATATACATACATACAAATTGACAAAACATAGCAATTAAACAAGATCAAGAAGTAGAAAGCAAAATTATTACATTTTATATTATATTATTTTGGTACAATATGTTCAATGTACATACATAATTACGCATTTGTCTTTAGAGTTATTATTTATATCTATAAATAAATCTATAAAATATTTAAAATTGATTTTAAGTTTTCTTCTTTTCAATTAAATTTTTTTTTTTTTTTGTTTACATATATTTACGGTAAGTTTTTGTTTTTTTACTCTATCTTTTCCCTCAGTGTAGCTATGTATTATTTATCATTTGGCACTCGGCAACAATTTGTAGACACATTTTGCAGAAAAGATTCCACCGAACAAAACTGTGACAAATTTTTCGAGTATATATTCAGAATTTATATTATTCTTTCCTTTTTTTTCGCAAATACGAGAAGGTCGTGAGCACGTGCGTTTTAGACTCTTGATCGAATTTTCTTGACGGCTGCCATTCATACATAAATACATACACTCATGTGTACATGTGTATACTAAATACATATAGATATTTCCTGTCGGTCGGTTAGTTTAAAAGCTTTTATTTATCGAATGCAACATCGAACGACACGAAGTCATCCCCATCAATCCATATTACACATACTCACGCACACAAGTACATATAAACACATGTACGTAAAATACTGCAATTGCAAAATGTACAACAGCAGCTGCTTAAGGCACAGCTGATAAGCACAGTTATTAAATTTCTTGTTGTGTACATTTGAAGAGAGCAACTGAATGAGAATGGGTGAGAGAGAACGAAAAAGACAATCCAGCAAAATGCTCACAAACAGCTGCTCAGCAACCAACCATAGCAACAACTTTTTGTGACGACAATGTTTTTACAAGATATACTTTCCGGTTTTACAGGTTTTTTATTTTTCTTCTTCTTCTTCTTCAGTCAAACAAACACAACAGAAAGCTCTTTTTCTCTTAAGCAGTGCGCGCAACGTGCACGCCGCTCTCCCACTCATACACATGCACAGACAGCTGCTTAATTTAATTAGCTTTGGACTGCTGCTCGGGTCGAGTACAAAGAGGCGCTGTCGTAGCTCTAGCATTCAGTTGTGCAAACGCTGCCGTCGAAGCGACAAGCAAGACGGAGAAGACTTAAAAATAAAACCGTTCAACAAAATAAAACTTGTTAACATTTTGTACAGATCTAAACAAGAAATTGTGCCAACAAAAAACAAAAAAAAAAAACAAATTTATAAACTACAGCAAACAATTTAAAGTGCTGCTGCTGCAGAAATAGAGTGAGGCCTAATCTGGTCTTCCTAGTTTTTCTTGAAAATCCAACAAAAATACAAAGGAAACCACAAAAGCGAAATAAATAGATTTTTAAAGAAGAAAACCAAAAGACCAAAAAAAAAGGCAACGAAGGTAGCGGACACATAAAATTTCCATTATACTAGAAACATGCAATTCAATGTGATTTTTCTTGGCACACAAAATTGTTCGACTTTGTTCATGTTTTTGTTCTTGTTTTAAATACATAGGGGTGTGTGTGCATGTCTTGGACTTTGATCGTGACTCAACACAATTCACTAAGCAGCTTTGCGACTAATAAATAAACACAAACATTAAAAATTTGTTTAATACACGTCAATTGGTTGGCCCGCTGCGCTGCTTACGACTAATTCGCTTTGCCCATTTGAATGCCGTCTGGTTTTCTAACAGTTGTTGCTGCGGCGAGTAATTGCATTGTTATCCATTTCGCTCTCTCTCTCTTGCACAAGCTTTTTCATTTGCAAGTTTTTTTTATGCGTTTTGTTTTGCTTGGGGCTTTTCGCACGTTGCGTTGAGTTGCGTTTTGTTTTGTTTGCAGGTGAAAGTAACGCCGAAGCCGACGACGCGTGATAGGTGGCGTGTTGTCTGCGTTACCATTGGAGATGAACTAAATATAGCTAATTTAAACAGCTCAAGTTGTCATTAGTCAATTCAACAAAAGAAAGCGCGTTTATCAAAACCCTTATCAACTACACGACGAACATGTCTAAGTGCAAGAATAATAGACGCCTCATAATATTTTTGACCGTTTCCTGCGCGATAAGCAAAAACAATAAAAGTTCAATGATAAAATAATACAAAAATCTAGCTAAAAAAAAAAAATGAAATTGCTGAACACAGTTGTACATTGACCTTAACAGTAGACGGGCAAATTCTAATTATTAAACGCCAAACACTTTGCATGTGTGCGTTAGTGGTCTGTAGAGCAGTTGAGCACGATTTACCTACGCATACCTACATACATACATATATACTACGAAACGCACAGCTTAATCAACATGTCACTAAGCTGATAAACACAATATTTTGCTTTTTATAAATTTACAAATCTATGAATGTATTTATTATGTATGTGTGCTTGCTTTGAATGCCGTCTTGTGAAATCGCGTGATGTTTATTTCCAGTGGCATGAGAAATGAGTAATAAGCGTGTTTGTGTGAGTGTGTGTCTGTACCCGTGTGTCTCTGCGATATTATTGTTTTATTACACACAAGCATAAAATCGGTAAAACACGCCACTAAAACGGTTAACTATTACACCATCTTCTTTTATCGATAACAATTGCATAGATATGCACGCGTACACACACAGACATATACAGAAAGCTCTGTTGCTGTTGCTAAAGGCAACAAGCGTTACAGTTACATGTACCTGCGTAGAGTTATTGTTTGCCCGTGAACTTTATTGTTGTATTGAAGCAAATAAGCCCAGTGAATGCACTTTGAATGTCACATGTACTGCGTGGGCAGGCTTTCTCTTTGATGTTTATTTTTGTATTAATTAAAGTATCGCTATATACGCTATGTTACTAGGATATCTGGCTCTTAACATAAAGACAAATATTACACAATATATACCCAATATGGTCTGCACCAAAAATATATACATAAACACCCAAAGCGAATTCGAACAAATTTGCCTTCCACATAATTCGCTCTTCGTATTTGTTTTGCTTGCATTCGCAATGCATTAACCTTGACTTTCTGAGCATGGCAGAAGGAAGACACGCGCAAATTGAAAACAGTTAGCGACAACAAAATAAAAATAAGAGTATTTTTAGCCAATTTCTTGTTGCTTTCATCTTTTGCATTTATTGCACTTGTTTTCGCTACATTTGAAATGTCACAAATGATTTGGCTAGATGTCGCAAGGGTTTATTTTTATAAGCATAACGGAAAAAGAATCAGAATACATATAGATACATACATATGTACATAATATTTAAATATATCAGTGTATGACTTACAGCTGTGTTTTTTCTGTCATTTGCAGTTGCCAACGATTGATTCACCAGCAAAGCGAACTGGACGCCAGCAACAACATCACGTGCAATAAAATGTATACTTATTAAAAACACTGGCACACATACAATTAAAGGCGGAAGAAACACGCACACGATTTAAGAGCAAATAAGAATTAAATCGAATTGAATCGAATCCAACGCGATATCGATAGAAGATACAAGTGTGCGCATATCGACAACTATTAAAGTTTAACAAAATGAACAGTTTGGCGCGCGTTTTTAGCAATTTGCAAGACTTTTACAATGACATCAATGCGGCCACACTGACTGGAGCCATCGATGTGATCGCCGTAGAGCAGCCCGATGGCGAATTCGTCTGTTCGCCCTTCCACGTGCGCTTCGGCAAGCTGGGCGTGCTGCGCAGTCGAGAGAAGGTGGTAAGTAACAAGGGACAGAAATATAGACGAAGGGAACAGGTAGTAATAGTAGACTTTTGATTTTTCTCTTTTAAGGTGGACATTGAAATCAATGGCGTGCCCGTTGATATACAAATGAAATTGGGCGATTCGGGTGAGGCGTTCTTTGTGGAGGAATGCCTGGAGGATGACGATGATGAGTTGCCCGCCAATCTAGCCACTTCACCCATACCAAAGAGCTTTCTGCAATCTCTGAACAACAAGAGCATAGATACACTGGAGGATATGCGCACAACTGACAAGTAGGTGGTCATTCTGTTTGTAAATTCCATTTGGCTAAATTGCAGCTAGCTACATTAAAACATCATTATCATTATGTTATAGAACCGCTAGCGATGATTTGCAAATACCGTTGCCGATGCCGCGTCGCAACTCAATTGATCTCTCCAAAGAGGAGCCAAAGGAAATTGCCACCGAGGGCAGTAAGAAATTCGAGAATCAGGCCTCCGACTATACGCACCGCAGGTAGTCAAAGCTTTGCTAGAAATCTTGTTCTCCATCACAATTATCAACTTGCTAATTCAATTGCTTCACTGCATCCTCCAGGCACACAGACAACATGTTGGAGCGGCGTAAATTGAATGAATCACTCAAGGAGTATACCACTCAAAAGATGCGCGAGGAGTGGGCCGAGCATGAGGAGCTATTCCAGGAGAAAAAGCAGCCCGAAAAGCTAGAGAAATCGTCGGATATAAAACCCGAATCTGAAGCGGGAACCAAAGTGGAACCACAACCAGAAAGCCTTGAAAAGACACAGGTAATATCCCAACCCGAAGCAAAGGAAGTTCAAACACCTCCATCCGCCAAACCGGAGGTGTTGATAGCAACACCCACAAGCACAACTGCAGAGGCATCCACAACCGTCTCCAATGATGCCAACAAAGATGATGCCAAAAACAAGACGAAGAAGCGACGCAAGAAGTCGCAAATGAAGAAGAAGAACACACAACGCAAGACATCATCGAGCAGCTCTGCGGGCAGCGCCGCTGGCGGCGAGACGACCAATGCAGACGCCAACTCTATCAACTCGATGCTGGTCAGCAACATTGATGAGACGGATGTGGTGGCTCTGAAAGCCAATGCGAACACCAATTCCTCCTCCAATGATGAGCAGGCATCGGCAGCACTCCTAACCGCACACACGGGCAATGATAGTCCGTTAAGCGAACTGAACCATGCTGCCACGCCCACGAATTCGATGCGCCATGATCTGGACATACATTTCTTCAGCGACACAGAAATAACCACACCAACGGGCATCGGGGCCGCTGGCGCTGGCCGGAACGCGGGCCGACCATCGACGCCAATCCAAAGTGACAGCGAACTCGAGACCACAATGCGAGAGAAACGTCATCTGGACGTTGAGAACAGCACGTTGTGGAAATGGGGGGAACTGCCCACACCGGAGCAGGCCAAGGGAGCAGCCAATGGTGCAGATGCCCAGCAGAGCGAACGGCATTGGATGATAAGCAATATGTTTAGCTTTATGCGTCGGGCGAATCGTTTGCGCAAGGAGGGCGCCACAGAGGCGGGCGATATCTATCTATCTGATCTGGAAGTGGGCAGCATGGATCCAGAGATGGCAGCTCTTTACTTTCCCAGCCCCAAGCCCAAGGAGACGGATCGCGAGAGTGGCAATGGCACTAGTCTGCCCCATTCACCCAGTTCACTGGAGGAGAATCAGAAGAGCTTGGATTCGGACTTTGATGAGACCCACAACAAACAGCTCGCACCACATGGCAAGAAGTGGGTAGCTGTTCGGCGAATGCGATTGCAGCGCGACTATCAAGAATTTATGTCTTATCCACTGAATTTATATTTGAATAGATATTTGGACTTCGTGGCCATGTCCATGTGCGGCATGCAGGAGAATGGTGCACCACCCAAGGATGACGATTTCGATAGACAGCTGGTCACCTATGCTGATGTAAGTTTAAACATATCAAACCCGTTTAGCCCTAACCGCTTACACAACTATCGATTGGTAGCGAGCAAGCGATATTTTTTATTAGGTGTATTCAGGCGTTGGATTTTCGTTTAAATTGCGGAATTTCCCAAGCTCATTGAATATGACTTTTTATTCATTTTATATCAGGCCAATATATAATATAGGTAATAATCGTTACCAATCGATAAATTTGTAACTCGTTATTTGTGCAACTGTCTGCACTTCCACCCACAATACTGGCATTACACAGCACTGCACGCTGCACAAATTAACAATAACAAAAAACAATACAAATACAAATACATGTATATTCATGCTTGCCTGCGACCCGCTGTATCCCTAATTTAGGTATGCAAAAATCCAAATATGTTCGCATCACCAAATCTAGTTGTACGTCTGAATGGCAAATACTATACGTGGACGGCTGCATGTCCCATTGTAATGACAATGATAACATTCCAGAAGCAACTAACTGATGTAAGTGTTGATTAATGCTTGATTAGAAGGACCTTACTATCCCTTTTACCTGGAAAACTCTTTAATGCTTCATATTATTTGCTTTCAGGATGCCATAGAACAGCTGATCTCGCCTTCGGCCCAAGCAGCGGATGATGACAAGCCGGAAGCGTCGCACCAAACGGAACATCCTGGTCAAACCAAGCGTTCCTGGTGGAGCTGGCGTAGATCTCAAGATGCGGTGCCTAATCAGGCGAAAATTCATAAGAATGATTCAATATCTAAGGATGAGAAGGGTAAAGTTCTTTTCGAAGCAATCTCTTAATTGATTTTAAGCCTATGTTTTTTTCTATTAGATGGCGATCAAGCAGCTGTCAGCACACAAACATCGCGGCCCAATTCTCCAGACTTGAGCGATCCAACGCTCAGCAAGACCGATTCCTTGGTAAATCCCGAAAATACATCTACCCAAGTGGATAATCTGGAGGAACTGACCATGGGCTCAAATAAGAGCGATGAGACAAAGGAGCGATACAAGAAAACTTTGCGTCTCAGCTCGTCGGCTATTGTGAGTGACTTCTACAGCTTACCATATTTATTTTTTCCAGATCTAATCTTTCTCTCTATATTTAGAAAAAACTAAATCTTAAGGAGGGCATAAATGAAATCGAGTTCAGTGTAACGACCGCTTATCAAGGCACAACGCGCTGCAAGTGCTATTTGTTCCGCTGGAAGCATAATGATAAGGTCGTCATATCGGACATCGATGGCACGATTACGAAATCAGATGTTTTGGGACACATATTGCCCATGGTTGGCAAGGATTGGGCGCAGCTGGGCGTTGCTCAGCTCTTTTCAAAAATTGAACAGAATGGCTACAAGTTGCTGTACCTATCGGCACGCGCCATTGGCCAATCACGCGTGACACGTGAATATTTGAGATCGATCAGGCAGGGGAATGTAATGCTGCCCGAAGGCCCATTGCTCTTGAATCCCACTTCATTGATTTCCGCCTTTCATCGGGAAGTCATTGAAAAGAAACCGGAACAATTTAAGATCGCTTGTCTATCGGACATTCGCGATCTATTCCCGAAGAAGGATCCCTTCTATGCGGGCTATGGCAATCGTATTAATGTGAGTCAAACTTTATTATTTGTATGAGCTCAAATACTTATTAATAAGAAATATTCTATTATGCAGGATGTGTGGGCCTATCGAGCTGTTGGTATACCCATTATGCGTATATTTACGATCAACACGAAGGGTGAGCTGAAACACGAATTGACCCAAACATTCCAGTCATCGTAAGTACCAAATATCGTATCATATGTATTTATAAATGGTTGTGGTCCAATCACTCATACATTTGTTAACCTTTGGCTCAGCGAAAAGCTCAAACAAGCTATGTGCCTTAAAGCTCATTTAATTGTATTTACACTCATTGTACAAAAGCTCGCTAATAGCTTTCATGTGCTTTCAAAAGACGGTTATTAGGGAGCTTAAGCCTTGCAAATTCATGCCACATACGAATTCTGTTAATTGATTAACCTCATAAAGCAAAGCTAGGTGTGTCTATAGTTAATAAGTACTACCATCTATATATCGTCTGTATGTAGATCTGTATGTTTAGGAAAATTCATTTAATGTACTACCAAAAATTCAAAATTCGCACTATCAATCGCAAATCAAGATCAAGAGCGTGGAGAGTACAAACAAATTCTACTCAAGCATTTCGATTGTCAAATTTATAGTGGCTACATCAATCAGTCGCTCGAGGTCGATGAATACTTTCCCCTGTTGACGCAAAACGATGAATACGAATATCGCACCGATACGTTCGAGGATGAGGAATTGTCTGATGAGCTACAATACACCACCGATAATGATGATGATGATGATGATAATAATGATGACGACGTTGACGTTGATGAAGCTGATGATCAGGATATGAGCCTCATAATGGGCGACAGACATGGTGCCAAAAATGAGATATTACTAGAATCGCCAACAAAATGGCTAAATTAACCTAACCCATGACTAAGTCAAAAATATGGGAATTATCCTAAATTTGTGATATTCAAATATTTTTAGTTATTAAGTTTCTATAATTAGCTTTATAGCGGGGAGCAAAACTTTGATAGCTTTAACTCCCCGTTATTATTATTATTATTAGTGATAAGTTAACAACCCACACGAAGTATGCCTAGTCTTAAAAGCTGGCGAACAATTAGAATTAGATCGTAAGGATTATAGTTTTAGTTGTTTTCTTATTTACTTTCTAAGTTTTATACACAAATAAAATGTGTGCATACTCTTTGGCTGTTTATCATTGAGATTTATTTACTTTTGCAAAACACGTGGCATGAGTTTGAGGTTATGTTAGGTTGCTGCGCAGCTTTGAGGTTAGGTTACGTTTGAGGTTAGTTTGCGAATCGAATTTCTGTTGCATACGCTTGGGCGCTGAGCCAATGGCCAACATTCAATAATGTTGCATAATTCATGTTGTTTATTGACTCGACTTTATTAATTTTGCTTACTTTTTTATAGGTACTGCAGCATGACCTATATTGTGGATCAACTATTTCCACCCGTGAAGCATGATGAAGTTGACATCGAGTTCTCCAACTTTAACTACTGGCGTGATCCCATACCGGATCTACCTGAGCTGGCTACGGAGCTGGTGGCGCCAAAAAAAACAGATGCAGCCGCACTGAAAACCATTCCAGAGAAATGAGATAATTAATTCATAACCAAAAAAAAAAAAAAAACTTACATTATCTAAACATATATTTAAACAATATTCCCATTCATTAATGTAGTTAAAGGCTTTCTATCGAGTTATATATTAGAAATGTTCGTTTCGCACACAAATTTGATTTATAAAAAAAAAAAAAAAAAAAAAAAACAATAAGGGGAGTTTGTTTGAAATTTCGAAGTACATTATCCTTATGTATACTTTATATTTTAATTAAATTTAATTAAGTATTAAGTTGTTTTTTTTTTTCGTCAACAACCAGAGAAAGTGATTTAGCCTATTATTTGCATTAAAAGAAAATACTATTTAGTTAAATTGATTTGTTTTAAAATTCGAACTGAATTTATTTATTTTAATCTTTATAGATATTACAAATCAAACTGTAAACTGAAATTCCTGAGCTACGATATATTGAAATCTTGTGATTTATAATTTTAAAAATGATAATTTCGTATTTCGTTTACATTTATAATTTATTAATATATAATTTTGTTGTGATGATCAGCTAATGATAAAATACCTATGCTTACAATTAAGTTCTTGCGCTGATGGACCTAAATCATTGCTTAAAAAACTATGATAATTAAATCTGCTTAGCCTGAAAAAAAAAAACAAAAATTATATATACGTATACAAAATAAATATTTCAAATGTTTAAATAAAAAATAATTGAAGGCTTTAAAACAATGTTTGTATATTTTCATTGGAAGAAACGTGAGCTGGAGTCATTTTATAGGATACGAAAACTAAATTGAATGGAATCTATAAACCAAATAAGAAATGTGGATGACTTTATGTTTAGCTATGATTTTCTCGTAGTTATTTCTGTCAGCATAACAAGAATGTTTATAGCTGGAAATTATATAGGCTTAAAAAATTAACCACTTTAAAGAACTTTGTATATTGCATAAATATAAAATGTGATTCAGTTCCGACCGGATCTCAAAAAAAAATCCCTGTTCAAATTGAAACTGACTTTGGTTCTAGACTGTCTACACCAAAGTATGATTCACTTTTGGCCCTTTTCTGATTAGTTTCATAATTCTGCAGTTCCAGGCTAAATAAAAACTGTTTTAATCAGAATTGTCTTTTGAGCCATGTTTAGTTTTCTCCTGTAGCCATGATGCAGTTCAGATTGCAGCACATAGTTAAAAGAGAACCTGCTCGAACCGGTTCGCTGTAAATTTTGAATAAGAGATGAGCTTTATTCGTAAACAGAAAAATCAGGCGACACTCACTCAAACGGGACAGGCAAACGGCAGCAAAACTAAATAATAAATAAAACATAAACTCAAGTTGCAGTGGAAATTTTTCAAATGTTCATAGACACAATTGTTGTCGTTATTGTTGTAGTTGTTGTTGCTGTTACTGTGGGCATTGTATCGTCTAGCATGCATACATAAATATGAGAACATTCGAGTAGAAAATCTGCGATTATGGACAAACCAAACAGCCCCGAGTCCCAGTCCCAGCCCCAGCGCCAGCCGCACAATCAAATCAACGTTGTGGGAGCAGTGGGCCAAACAAGGGGGTCGCTGCTGGGGTGGGGGTGGATTTTTGGAAGTGGGGGATGGGGGATGGGAATTGAGATCTCTCAGCAGAGACATGATGAGGGCAAGTAGTATTTGTCAACGTAATTTTTGCCAATTCAATTAATGCTCATTTAAAGCACAGCAGCAACAGCCCAGGCGGCAAGCAACTGCAGCAGCAACATGATGATGATGATGATCATCGTCATCATTATTATCGTTATTTGCATTGTCATCATCATGATCAGCATACAAAAGCCGGAGAGTAGCCTAATAGGCAGACATTATCAGAGGTTATCAAAAAAGATTTAGCATGATTTCCATAAAGAAACATCTGGAAATAATAAGGGTTTACGTGAGTGGAAGGAGAATAGATACATATATGTATGTATATATTTCAGCTGATTTTGAATATGTATGTATATATATAGGGGTTGATGGATACTGAGCAGCTGCTTGTCTTGTTTTTATTTCCATAGTAAACTTAATAAATTTAAGGAATTAAAAATATAAAGAATGTTTATACATTTACTGCTCAGATATAATGTGGGTACAATTTCTTTTTTAATACTTACAAAGTTTTTCATTTTTTTTTTATAAAATGATCATTGTTTATTTTTTTTTTTTTAGAATTGTGCTTACGCTAAATAAATCAGTTGCCAAATAAAATTTATAAAAATATACATGTATTAAATAAATAAATAGATATATGTTTGAAAATGTACAAATATAAAAAAATTCTCTTTGTGTATATGTTTGATATTTGGCTTTTCTATTGTAATAAATTTAGAATTATGTTTTTGATAATTAATTTAAGTAATTTAAATGAAGAGTTAAACGCGTAAATAAAAGATAAATAAAAAAAATACATATGTGATTACTTCTATATATTTGCAAATTTAGCTAATACATCTATATACTTAATATATTTTTAATTAGGCCAATTTATATATGAGTACTAAATTGTCATTGACCTACTAATCTATTATTATATTTCCAAAAACTAGTTTTTTTTTTTTTTTTTTTTTTTTTGTTCAACAATTATTGATTTTTTCTTTTATTTATTAATACATCTAAATCATTTTTTAGTTTTCTAAAACAAACAAACAGTTAATAAGTTTTTAATTAATTAATATTTAGGTCATGTCATTAAGTACTTAAAGTACCTAGCGAAACAGTGATGTGCATAAGTAAAGCGACAAAGGCATGTGCATATAAATATACTCACACTTCCACGTACATAGATATGTAGATCTATAGATACACCACACTGATTATGTGCCGTACTTTTCCGCTATTATTTGGCTTACAGTCAGAAAATAAAAAAAAGAACACGCTTAAATGATATTAAATTTAAGATTATTATGCAGCTCAGGGAGGCTGTTTAGCAAGATAAGAGCACTCTTAGGCTGATTATGATAATGATGCTAATGATTATGATTACCGATAAAGGTCAAATTGAATCTGAGGTCAAAGAGCAAAGAACAATTTCTAGCAAATGCAAGAAAAATTCCTTGTAGTCCATATATTATATGTAAATATAAATAATATATATTATATATGTACATGCAAATAGATAAGTCATATTAATCTCAGCCTTAGTTAAGTGCTAGTGACTTTTAAAGTCGACTTAAATTCCAAATCCAATTGAAATTTTCGACGTAGCCGTACAAATCGTTGACTCAATTGAAGCTGCCCCCTTCTACGGCCAACCCTCCATCGCTAGCGTCGCGACGCGGTGGCGTTCGGCGGCTCGAGTCGTGCGCGCCCCAATGATTTGTATAAAAGCCCATGCGACTGGGCAGTCAATCATTAGTTATCACTCTGGTGTCCAAACACACAGCTAAAGCACAGCCCAAACAGAAACCAAAAACGAATCCTGCAAATATGAAGAACACCGTTGCCATTCTACTGTGCGCCTTGATTGGCCTGGTAAGTGTGCCACGCCCACGCATTTCAAAGTATACTTTCCTCTAGCTAAATACACACTCCTCTTTGCCAGGCTTCCGCTGCCGAGTACAAGCTGCGCACCGCCGAGGATCTGCAGAAGGTGCGCAAGGAGTGCGCCGAGGCCAACAAGGTGACCGAAGCCCTCATTGCCAAATACAAGACCTTCGAGTATCCCGACGATGAGATCACACGCAACTACATCAAGTGCATCTTCAACAAATTCGATCTGTTCGAGGATACCAAGGGCTTCAAGGTCGACAACCTGGTCGCCCAGCTGGGCCAGGGACGCGAGGACAAGACCCAACTGAAGGCCGATGTGGAGAAGTGCGCCGATAAGAACGAACAGAAGTCGCCGGCCAACGTCTGGGCCTATCGCGGCTTCAAGTGCTTCCTCAGCAAGAACCTGCCCCTGGTGCAGGCCGCCATCCAGAAGAAGAACTAAGCATTCCACAATCAATGCACCGGCACCGCCACCGTCATCGCCAGGAGGCGGCGCATCCCGTCAAGCAATCGAATGTTGCGCGTGCATCACACAAACTTTTTGTGCTATTTGCTGCATTTTCTTTAAAATTGAAATAAAAATCGTATAATAGCAAGCCATAAAGCTAATATTTTATTTTATTTTGAAACATGATCTTTCTAATATATATATAAACTATATGATCCTAATATTATGCAAGGCCATAATAATGCCGGCCAATGAAAAGTTTGTCCCAGTTTATGGATAGCTAGTGCTGTGCTTCTTCTTCATCATCATCATCATCATCGCCATCTTCTTCTTCTTCTTCCTCCCAAAACCTTGTCCCACCCAAAGGAAAGGCATAGAAAAGTTGTTTAATTCGTTTATATTTTTCATCATCTTTTTCGGTTTTTATCAAATTTTTCTTTGTATACTATTATGTATATATAGATTTATTTTTTTCGGAAACAGCAAGATTTTTATTAATTATCTTGTTTTTTTATTTTTTGCTTTTATTTTTATTTTTTGTGGTGTTTTTCATCTTTTCCTTTTGTCTGCAATTTTTTCATAATCTTTTTTCTTTAATTTTTTTAATCCTCTCTTTTTTTGATTTTGCCTTCTTTAGAACTTCTTTTGTTTTTATTTTTTATTCTGCTTTTCTTTGTCCTCTTTTTTACATGGTTTACTTTTTTCTCTCCACTTTTTTTTTTTTTTAGTTTTGTAGTTTATATATGTATAAATATATATATATTTATATATATATGTATACTGTTTTATGAAAAATTAAAAAGTGTGATAAGGGGTGTTTGTGGTGTTTTGGGTGCTTCAAAAAACATTATAGCCAAGTTACGTTTTTTTTTTATTTATATATTTTCTTTTTTTTTCCTTGTTGATTTTCATTTTATTGGGTTTCATCTTATTATTTTTTTTTTTTTGCGCCTCTGCTGTGGATTTTTTTATTATTATTTCTATGCATAATATTTTTTTGTTGGCGTTCTCTTGTATTCTTTTCTTTTTTTGTTAGCAAAGAAGTTTTTGGCAATAAAATGTTTTTTGAAATTATATATTAAAAAAATCTGAAATCAAATATTAATTGGATTAAAGAAATGTGTTATAAATAAAACTAATTAGTTGTAATTAGTTGATCCCAAAATTTTAGAATATAGAGAGCAGGCGATAGACAGTAATCAGGCACAATGCCAAACTGGCAATGAACGGATAATTATTATGAACAAAACACGAATTTCTTAAGGATTTAAGATGTGTACAATTATTAGTGCACTCTCATATAAGAAGCTGTATATATACATAGTTGGATAATGAAGCCTCATAGAAAGATTGTTTTGGCTAACTAATCGATGGCAGGCAATACCTTATGGCAATTGGAAGCGGACTGTTTCGTATTTACAAAGGAGGGCATAAATGCTATAGTAAATACCAAAAGTGCTTAAATCGTTTGATTGAGTTGAGCACTTTTTCCATTTTACAAGGCATACCCATTCAGACTATAGTTCTTTTTTGATTATCATCAGTCAACTTACCTTACTAAACATAAGTTAAGAAAACAAAAATCAATACGGCGCATAATAATTGGCGCGTCCGCGGTAACCTCTTCTGAAACGAAAAACAGACCGGAATTAGCCAAAACATCTTAATATCGGAACTATGTATATATTTAACCCTTACATTGCGCGTCGAGCGCCACGGAAAGTTGAATGACAGCAGGCACGGGAGACGCGAGCTCCTCGGCCTCGGAAGCTGCCGCGTGCAAAGCGATTTGTAGTTGAAAGTCCAGGTCGATTGGTTCGCTTCGACATGACCTGCAATAGTAATGGAAAGGAACATTTAATATAAAACTCTTTTATACGTATATTTTGATAGCACTCACCTTAATTTGACGTCCTCGGAAGAGTGTTTCATTCATAGCCAGCGCCGTTTCTACATACTCTTTCGAGCCAAATTCAATGTAGGCAAAACCCTTCGGATGTCCATCAGCCTTATTGCATAGTATAGTAACACGATTTATGGTGCCGCAACCATGAAAATGTGCCTCCAGCTCCTCGGCAGATGCACCATAGTCAACATTGCCCACATACACGGACCGTGTGTCAATCTCCTGCTTCTCTTCAAGTGAAAGCGGCACAGTGGCCAAACCGGTTGTCGAACCGCCGGCCATTTGTTTGTCTACCTCTGATTGCATTTGCTTTATTTTTTCAGCCTCCTCCTCCATTTCTTTGACGCGGGCCTTAATGGCCTCGAGTTCTGGATCGATTTGCATACTGCCTTCCTCCTTTAATATTTCAATTAGATATATATAATTTAGTTACTTTTTTGCTATTTTTTAATTTATAATAATGCCAAGAATGCTTTATGATTTAGCCGACTTGAAGTGTGTCTGGGGAGAAGACGCTTCGAAAATGGCTGCCGCTTTGTTTTGTGAGCTTTGCAAGCAGACAAAGCTTTTTCCGCGAATTTCAATGTGCTTTTACATTCAAGGCGAATGGGAAAAAAACTGGTTTGTTGACGCCTTACGCTTACCTCTGCTTCAGTCGCAATCCCAGTCTCCTGTTCGCCGTTTGTCTCTTCCAGCGACTCCAGAAGCTGATCCTCGTTTAAAGTAATATCTTCATCAGCCATTATAATTATTTTATATTGATTTAAGGGGAGGAGGGAGTTTTGAACTTTGGTGTTTTGTTTATATTTACTAAGCTTAACTTTGTCGCGTAAAAGCTTACAGCGGCACTGTGGTATTTATCGATGTTTATAATTCACTGTAAAGAGAACGTGTGGCAAAAGAGCAAGCGAAACTTCGATTAATTGGACATGCTCAAAGAGAGGCGCACTTTATAGTAATGTACGTGTCATAAATTCTCAATTTGGCGCTGTTATTGCTTTTAATTAAACAATACAATTGGCGATGCACATTTATCTGTTTTGTATATGGATATACAGAAACATTTTCCGCATTAAATTACGATTTCAGCAGCACTTACGTCAAAAATACAAGGCAAGGCGCTGCTGCTGATGACGTTTCTGCGTTCGCTCAAAATGGCCGCTGCCCAATGATAATCCGCACGCTACCAACGACGGAAACAACTGTATCTTAATATTAGTTTTGATAATTTGTCGATTGACCTGTATCAATATTTATCTATTTCACGCTTTCGGGCACTAACAGCAGCATTTAAATTTACTGATATTTCTGCATTTACAACAGTTCGACAAAATTTTCACAGAAACAATTTTGTCAACGCAAAAAAACGCAGCGAAAATGTATTCGCCTCACTGTTAGAGAAGGTACATTGAAAGTATCGCTCAGAGCATGCTAGTTATCGATAACAAACATATCGCAGTAGCTAAACAAACCCGCATTCAGTTTCTAATATCATGACCGATTCTGACTCTGAGTACGAAGAAACTGAATATTTGGTGTATGCTGACTTTAAAAATCATCTTGCACCGCATCAGCTAAAGCACGAGGATGCTGCTATTCGCATAATTGCCATTGAAAGCGATACGCCCATGGCTGAAATCAATGGCAATATATACAAAGGTATAGCATGCGACATGTGTGTTCACAAATCAACAAGGGATTTTTTTATTTAACCTTCCCATATTTGCAGGTTCCTATGACATGAGTATGGGCACTAATGTGTTTTTCGAAAAAGACACCAAGAGCGCAGTTGGCGATCCACTTTATGAGCCAGTTTGCCGACAGCAATATAAGTATTTCAATAAATCCGACAAGGTAATCAATTTTGATCGGGTTTACATTGAGAATCTCCCACAAGATATTAAGGCGGACGAGGAACAGCAACAGGAACCAAAGCCACATACTTTAAAGCTAAATATTACATATAAAGAAGCGATTGACAAATTTCTTGAGGAAAAATAAGAAATGTATGTTTACGTTAGAGATGGGAGCGTGTTCTAAGAAGTCTTAGCAAATGTATTTTATGATATATGTATTCATATAATTCTTGAATTATACAACTCCATAATTGTTAAATTGCATGTTATTAAATGCTTATAATTATACAAACAATTAGAACGTAGATCGTGCATGACACGCTGCCATCTCAATTCAAAAAAGTACCTATAATGATTTGATTATCTTTTGCAGTAAATTATGGAAAACGTACTCGAACCACTCCAACCAGCAATAAACCTACGTCAATTCCTAGAGGATTATTCCAAGAAGTTAAACGATCCAGATGAAAAAAGTTCAGAGAATGTTCCGTTCTACTTTTCAGAGGTCCCACCTGTTTCACCAGAAGTTGCAGAAATCTGCTCCTTGCAACTGCTTGATGCCCCGGACGACAATGTAATAGACACCTTTGAGCTGGGCGCCGAGATACAGCGTCCCAATGTATCGAAACCAAACATGAATAAGCCTGTGCCAAAGACCTATACAGCCATATATAAGCACAAGGCGAAGTCCCGCAAAAATCCATTTAGCCGAACACAATACAGTTATCGTTTGAATGCCGAACCGTCACCAAGTGGCGATTCACCTGTAATGTGGAAGACCCTTGAGCAATTCGAATTGGAGCTAACCGTTCGGTTTTATAGGCCACCGCGTGCAGCGCATCGTAGCTTCAAATTGGAGCGTCCTGTCTTTGCGGAAGAGTTCGTCTGCCTTGGCAGCAATTTTTTAAGCGAATTACGAGATAAAATCTCTTGCATCTGCAATGGCAAACGATTTGTCGATATTAGCGAACAGCCACATGCGCCGCTGCCTGTGCTCGAAACAGATCCTGGCTACTTCTTCATTAACGGAGTCTTCTATAATGATACCCGCAATCCCAACAACTGTGACTACTCTGAAACTGTAATCAAGTGGGCAAGCACAGCACACGGCTTGGAGAAAGAAGAGTTCCAGGTGGCTTCAATGGAGGCGACTCGCTTCATCGATCTAACCATTAGCCTGGGTGCACCTGTACAGTATCTGCATCATGGCAATTGCGAGCATTTGTTTGTGTTCTCACAGGTGGAGGTGTTGAGGCCGGGCAGTAAATTTATTAACCCTAGTCACTATCCCTTTCTGCGCTCCTTCAGTACCTTCAATAGACGCGCTTGCTATATGTGCGGCCTGCGTGGCTATCATTTCATAGTGGAGAAGTCGCGCCGGCAACTGCACGATCCCTCATATCTCTGTCGTAGGTGTTTCTTCAGCTTCAACTATGTGGATGGCAAAAAGGTGGGAGACTTTAAAGCATATCGGATTTATGGTCTGGCGGATCTCACGGACGAAGACGCCGTATGCCAGTCACCAAACGCGCCGGACATAAACAGCAGCAGCAGTGATGAGAATAGCGGGGACTTGGATGAAATCAGTTAATTATAATAATGTAGATAAATATAAGGCTAATTTTAATATTACTTTTATTTTGATAAAATATATGCAAACATAAATTAGAGATACTGTTTTTTGTTTAGTGTTAAATAAATGTCAATACACGTTGTAACAATAGTTAAACATATGCCGCACAGTTCAAGTGATCTATGAATATACATATAAGTATGTATATCATATTGTATATAGCATATTTATATCTAGTATAATAGCAAAAGTTAGTTTTGACATTAGGAATCAAATGCATATGTAGTATAACACAAATATTTTGAGCTTATTTATACAAATACTTTTCTTGAAAGAGCACACATATATATATATATATATATATATATTTAGTATAAATTAGTATCAATATCATTTAGGCGTACAGACTTTGACCAAGACCAATGGAAAACGAGTTAATAGACTAATTTTGGCCAATAACATATGTGTATTCTATATATATCTATGTATATACGTGTGTGTATATAAGAATACAAATATATTTAATACAGTTATAGATTAAAAACATGCATATACTCATACATATGCACAGTATTCATTATGGTATATGTATATATGTATGTATATATATATACCTATATATAGTGTCGATTTCTCGTTTGTGCGTGTTTTAATTGCTTGTTTACAAATGCAAATGAAACACTAGTCACATTTTGCTTGTGTTTTATCTATGGCATGTGTTTGAGTGTTTCTTTGTTTGTTTTCGATCTCAAGTTTCCACGATCACGATTAAGATATTCCAATTCCAACTATATATATCTATAATTTGTGGCAGTGCCGTTTAATTGCGTCGCTGCCTCTTCTAACCTTCTTTGGTTTCTAACACTGGATTTAAAGCTAATACCAGGACCACCATTTGCCTAGCTTTGAAATACCAATTCACGCTCCACGGACAGATACTCGAGCATCTGTGCCGGCACTGGCAGCCGGGCCAGCTCACTGACTGGCATCTGTCTCTGCAGCACGCGTCGACATAGATCCTGAAGCTTGGGCATGTTCAAGTAGCGACTCAATGGATACTTGAGTATCACTGGAAATGGCGGCTGCATCTCGTTCGGCACCTTCACGAAGCACACGAAATTATCATTGGTGCAGCGATGCAAAATGTCCTCAATCATCTCGACAATCGACTCATATTTCAATTCCTCAAAATGCCAAAACTGATCACGATACTCCAGACGGTAATGCAGCGTCACGTTCAAAATGCGAAAGCTTAGCGTAAAATGAGAGCCGGTCGACTCCGAGTCCCGCACCAGAAACGAACCGGTGGGCTTATCGCTCAGCTGACGCTGCGAGTCGCGACGCGAAATCTCGCCCCAGTACCAGACTTGACTGTAAGCAAAAGAAGAAATGAAAGAAAGTAAGAATTTAAGTTAATTCGTCATCTCTTAGGGCATGATTCATCGAACAGGTTTTTCCACATACTTGAGCATTTCGGAGCATGCCTTGTACATGACCTCATTTGGCGGATCCTGCCGCTCCAGCCACTTTTTTCTTATGAAACGCATGTAGTCATGGGTGAAGGGCAGCGTCGGTTCTACACGTATTGGTGGCGCCAGAAATTCGTACATGGCATCTGTGGTTCCGCCATCACAATCACAATCATCGCCCATGGAGTGCCAGTTGCGCAATGCACTCAGACCCAATACCATTTTCTTCCGGATACGCGAGAGCATGTTCTTCTTATCCTTACGTTTACGCAAAGCGCCACCTACACTGCTGCTATTGCTATCGGATGCAGCGGCACTAGAACAGCTGGCCTCCATGGCGGCGCCCAGTGGCTCATTGTTGTTGTTTTGCAGCTGCGCTGATTGGGAGCCGCCAGCAGCGGTGGTGGCAGCAACTGTTGAGCTTGAGCTGGCCAACGCAGAATCTGACTTTTTACGCCTGGTCAACGAGTAGAACCAGCTGCGCTTCTCTTTTGTAGCAGACGTTGCGCCAGCAGCTACAAAACACATGGAAAGGAAATATAAGTGGAGATTACATTTAAAACTTATAGACTTTAGTCTTTAGTTTAGTTTTATTAGCAGTGCCTATTGGTTCACTAGGCTTAGGCTAGCTAGACAACAGCTGAACTTGAAATTAATATGCATACCCTGTTCATCACTGCCGGCATCTAGAATTTCCTGGCTGGCTGCATTTCTGGATCGATGTTGGGCTGTAGAAGAGCTAGCCGTGCTCGCTGATCCACTCCCACTCGCGCTGCCTCCAGCAGCACTTTGGCCTTGGTTTTGGCTTCGTGCATTTGAGTTATTCTCACCGTTACTCATTTTGGTCAATTTCCGAACGAGTTCTATTTGGTTGTTATATCCGTTGCATTATCACATAATGAGCCATACTAGGAATTCGGATGACTAAACTTAATATTAAAGTGATAAGGAAACTATTTGTTTTCGTTTTCGTTGGAGTAGTATACAAGAAGTGGTATGGCTCTCTGTGAGGGATGTTCCATTTATCGATACTTTGCGCACTTTGAGTACAAATGCAACAATTGCGGTTATTTGACGGTGCAATACCCTGTAACAGATTTGTACATACATATTTACATATGAAATGTATATTTTTGTATAATAACAAAAAATGAATGATTATAATTTTAGTAACTTAAATAATGTATATGGTAATTTGGCTACAGCTTGCAGCCTTGTAAATTATCTGTTAATAATTCACAACAATAAGACCATCGTTACTTGATTTGTTTTTGCTTATCGATAAGCCACCGATAGCATATTGTATTCACATGCAAGCTTGTTTGGTTAGTGCATGAGTATATTTTGAACGGTATGACAATTTGAGCAGAATGCATAATTTTCCCATAAAATTGGATTTATCCAACTTCTTTTGTGATGAACGCCGCTGCTCGTTGGTGTTAGTTGATGTATCCTGGGAGAATGTTAAAGATCTACAAGATCACATTCAAAAGTTGTTCAATTTGGTAAGTTTTGATTGCTCAATTATTAATTCAAATTAAGTGTTTTTAAATCCATATGTAGAAGAACATAAGTTTGTTGACCAGCGAAGGATGTTATGTGCCCCCGAAGGAGTCCATCAAAGTAATCAAGTCGACAGAATCGCTTAAGGCCTTTCAACTAGATCCAACCGGCAATTCTAATGAGGAGCTTTCACATCCGACTGAAACAAGCAAAAAACGCAAAAATCGCTCGGTTGAAACAGAAAATGAGCTGATAAGCTCCACTCCCAATCTGCCCAAGCGTTCCAAATGCAAAAGTATAACAAGAAATGAGGTCACCTATGAGGAGCCGGCCTCAATCAGAGATGATATAAATGGAGTAGGGAGCGAGGATCAATCAAACCTTGGAACTGCATTATTGATGCAAGAAGATCAACGGGCCTCATATATTAACAGCGTTGATAATAATAAATCAGCAGCCACGGCTGCCACTGAGTCCAGCATCTCAAATCAATCAAATCGCACTACTAGGAATCTCAGCAGTTTCAACAAACAAAGTGTTTCAAATAATCATATTCTATATAGGGACGATGAAGATGAAGAAAATGTGCCACCAAATGGCACAACTGTGGAGAAAAGCCTGCAATTGGAGCACGTAGAACCTGAAGTCGAATTTCGTAGTCAACTAATGGAGTTAGATATGAACTCTGTTCGCATCTTTAGGCTTTCACGCAAACACAAAGATATTCAAATTATCGAGGAAATTGTGATTCCTGCCAAGGCGCCTGCAGCCGAGCATGAAATGGATAAAACGCAATTAGAACCGTCAGTAGAGACATCTATAGCAGTGGTTACACCAAATAAAGCTGACTTGGAGCATACGACAATGACACCAAAGAGTTTACCTCAGCTTTCTTTAGAGATCTCACAGCAGGAGCAAGAATCGGAGAATAAAGTGCAGGCCAAGGAACTAACACAAAGTTTATTGGACTCCGACTCGGATGACGATGTTATGGTGTTGGATGACACAAATGTGGATGACTCTGATTCGGATGTTCAAGCGGTGCCATTGAAGGATACGTCATTGGACGTTATTAAAGATATGCTACAAAATGCAGCCCCTTTGGAGAATTTACCCAATGTGGGTGAAACGATAATCTTTAAGCTGCCCAAAGTGAAGGGAGCAAAGCCGCCAACAGCGTTTACGGAAAATATAGCGGGCACCTGCTCCTACGTTAATCGTCGTACAAAATCCATCACAATCGCTGTAATCGGTAAATACAACTGAAGAGATAAGCAACTGACTTAAATAAAAATTCTATTCAATTTGTAGCATATTCCGATAAGTTTGCTGATGTACTGCAGCAGTATTCCAGCCGTTTGGATGACACTACAGATGCCGCCCCCATTTTAAATGTTAACTTTAGAGATTTGATTCAGGCCAAGGTAATTGTGACCTCTGTGGACTAAGCTGGGATTGCCAAGTCCAAAACACTTGATTGTATTTGTGTTTTATAATGTTTTCATAATTTGTTAATATAAACGTTCATCAAATAACATAAATGGGAGTTAAAAATTCACTCATCTTGCGAATGCAATATTGGTTCAGACTGTATGTTTTTTAATTTCCTCGTATAGCTGATCAGCGTCCTCTCCGGTCTTTACACGCAGCAGCATGGACATCGGCTTTGACTCCTCGGGCGTTGGCAGGCACACCATCATGACATTGTTTTTGCCCATTCGCTGGCAGGGCAGGCCACTAGTCAATAGAAGATTGACCAGAATGTTGCCCAGATTGGTGTCGGCACGGACCAACATTTGTATCTTTTCCGAGTCCTTGACTGGCTTCAAATATAAGGTGCCAACGCCACGCTCAACAAAATCGTTCTCCTTTTTCACAAACACTTTGCAGCGTTTCGAGTAAACGGCGTCATCTTCAACTACCTGAAAAGATAATAATAATAAAAACGGATCAATATTAGATTAGCTATTCAGGTAGTGTTTGAGCATTACCTTGTTGAACTCCACAACTGGTGGCTTATCCTCCTCATCTTCGTTGTTGTCGGCATTCGCATTATCTGGATTGGGTTTAGCATTGGCAAAGCTAACGGAACTTGAACTGCTGGAAAAGAAACCACTAGGTGCTGTTATTGCTGTATCGCTGCTCGATTTGGGAAAACCCGCGAAAACAGATGTGGTCGGCTTGTCATTCTTTACGCCAAATGTGAATCCATTTGATTTTGGCGGAGTTATACCTGTAGCAGAAGCCACAACGGGTGGATCTGCGCCACCAAAGAAGAAACCCTTCTTGGGCTGCTCTTCTTTATCAGCGGCGGCAGCTGCTGCGGCTGCTGGCTTGGTACCGAAACTGAAAATGTTTGCTGGCGAAGCTGTGCTGGACGTGGCTTCCGACTTGGTTGGTGTGGTGCCTGCCCACGAGGACCGTGGCACGGTGCCAAACGAAAACAGTGGTGTGGTAGCAGCGGTTGTGGTGCCACCACTTGTTACGGTACAACTTGGCTGTTTGCCAAATACCAACGATGATGATGACGTTGATTCGGTGGAAGTTGTGCTCGGCTTACCAAAGAAGCCACTGCCAGCGGAAGCAACTGTAGTTGCAGGTTGAGCTGCAGCTGATGTTGCTGTTGCCGTTGTTGTTGTTAGTGTGGCTGTTGCATCTGTTGCCTTCAACGGAGTCTTTGCTGCATTTAATTTAATTCCATCCTTCTCTCGCAACTCCTTCACATACTTATCGTAACTCTCGAACACTGGGCTCAATATACAATACGGATTTTTATCCATATGCTCCTGCAGAAATTTCATTACAGCCATATTCAATTCGGCGACATTATCACGATATTCCTTAGAGGCGTTAATTGTATTGCCCGACGCCTCTGACTTGTCGGCAGGCACAGTTGGCTTGAGCTTGGAGGCGGGAGCCTTTAGTGCATCGTTAGTTAAGGTATTTCCGAAAATCGACGGAACTGCGCTTCCTTGTACAGTTGATGCTGTGCTGCTGATGCTGGTTTTTAAATTTGACTCTCCTTTTGATTGTTTAGCTGGTGGAGCTGATGTTACATCATTCTTGGCGAAGATTCCACTTGGCTTTGGAGGATTCTCGGCGGCTGTTGTAGTTGGAGATTTAGATACAGCCGGAGCAGAAGCGGAAGCCGACAGATTAGACAGGAATGCAAATGGTGTGCCGGTGGCCGCAGCAGCTGTTGCTGGCTTGCCGAAACCTACAATTACAAATTTATATACGTATATTATGAATGAAGCAAACACATTTAATGCAGCCGGAACCCACCTGAAAAGCCGCTGAATACAGTTTTACTTGGAGTTTCGCCGGCATCTTCGCCTTCTGATGAGCCGGTTAGAGGCTTGCGCCTTGTCGCCTTCTTAATAACGCGTGATTTTAGTTCTTCGGGGGGCGCTGTTCGGAATGTGCCGCGCTCCTCTGGCTCGTCTTCTTGATCCCAGTTTTCATGGTTTAGATTGGATGTAGCTTGCCGTTTGCCAGCCATTTGTTATTAATATAATTGCAAAAAATATATACTGATCAAAAAGGAAATAAATCGTACTGTTTGTTCGCTCAGTAACGAGTGACAGTATCAGGCTCATGGAACTAAACAGCTCAACTTGCTTGTTGCAGTCTTTTTTTTTTTGTTTTTTGGTTCTTTAAGGAACTACCGCAAACACTGCTCAATGGTAATTCTTGTACGGAATTTTTACTTTAGTTATGTGAATGTAGTCGGTGTACAAAATATTATTATTAAATTAAATTAATTTATTAAATTATATATTGTATATTTCTGAATAAGTTGTATGTATTTTCTTGTCAAAATCTACTTGTGTTCCTTGTGTGAACCAGCTCCGTTCTATGCTCGTGAGTGGAATCATCTACGACCAGCCCTGAAACTCATTGCCTCTGTGCTGGCTGTACGACTTTTGTACTTTGGCCAATTTTAGTACATTTTGGATCGCGAAGTATATACAACATTGCTACATCGTACGCGACAACGACGACGCCAGCGGAGCAGCAAAAATTGCAATATTAATAATATTTAGTCCCAACTCCGGTTCGGGCTAGTTGTAAATATTAAAAAATAAATAAATAAAAAGCAATTTGCCGTTAATTATGTTGAAGTGTTTAGTAATGATTTTTTGAGTGATGGCAATGTGACAAAAACCGTTGCAGTTGGGTGTAAATATGCGCGGCGCATTTCTCTACTACTGTAACATTAATTGCGCTTCGACTGCGAGTGCGACTCGAATTTTGCTGCAAGATGAGGCGATCAGGTGGCGCGCCTAAAAAGTGTACGACAAACAGAATAAAATGGTTTGTGCGTAAAGTAACTGTGCAACGGCAGCGTGTGTAAAAGTGATTAGAAAAAAAACACACACACTCAAAAAGGAGTAACGTGAAAATTGCTGCATAAAGGAAGAGAGTAATAAGTGAGTGCTCCCATACAGACTAACGTGCCAACACCAATACCGCAATACAAGTACGCACACACACACACGCATACACACATACACACGGGACGCACACTCT